GGCGCAAGCGGCGCAGCCGGCGTCGGCGCACCGGCGCATCCATGTGGTGGGTCGGCACACCGGCGCACCGGTACATCGGCGCATCCGTGTTCCAGCGGCGCAACGGCGCACTGGCTGGCGCATCGGCGCAACCGAGTTGCATGCGGTGCACCGACGCACCGCGCAACTGTGAGGTGCTGCACCCATTTCCCCCACGCTCCATATATACATATATATATATATGTACACATATACATGTACATACATGTACACATGTAAACATATAAATATATAAACATACATACAAACATACTTATATACACGTACATATAAAGGTAAATATATGCATGTACACATATAAACATAAATACACATGCTCTAAGCATCCTGGCATCATCAGCAAAAGAACAGGAACGAAAGCGAGGCGTTCGAAACTTCATACCAGCTTGACAAGCCCGATGCCAGTGCACAAGGACACCAGGGCACAAGGGCACAAGGACACCAGGGCACAAGGGCACAAGGGCACAAGGGCACAAGGGCACAAGGGCACAAGGGCACAAGGGCACAAGGGCACAAGGGCACAGGGCACAAGGGCACAAGGGCACAAGGGCACAAGGGCACAAGGGCGCAAGGGCACAAGGGCACAAGGGCACAAGGGCAAAAGGGCCCGGGAACAGGAGAGGACCGAAGCCTTTTCTTGCGAGTCTTGTTGTGTGGCAGTGTTTGCTTCCTGGTAACCTTGATAGTGACCTTACAGTTAACCTTTTTAGTAGCCCTTGACTTTATAGTTTTGGTAGTGCGCTTAGCCGGTCCCATCATGCGGTTGGAAGAACCCCTGGCAAAGCTTTCGGCTTCAGTAGGACTGTGGCACGCCAAAGCCCTTGGCACGCAGTAATGTTCTACTAAGATCCCCAATACCCAACCTTTGAACTTTTTGGGCTCTTATAGTTTAGTAGGAATCGGAAAGTTTAACCTGTGTCTTATTGGGTAAGTAAGTCTAGTTGCGGCTTCACCTCGTAGTCGCTCGGTCTGGATTTGTTGTCAGTGACGCCCCAGCTGCAGCGTACATCCGCAAAAAGGCTAGGTAACCCTAAACCCTAAAACCTCAACCCTAAACCCTAAACCCTAAACGGACTTCAAAAAAACCTAAACGGATGCTCTGCAGGCCAAACGTGCCCAAAGCAGGCGGCACCGCTGACAGGCCAGGACCGGTTTGGGATGGGGCAAAAGAATGCAAAAGATATTATAGGGGGCCTTAGTATAATATAGGCTTCCTTTAAAGCGTTCCTTAAAGGGGTCTAGAATGGATAGAGTAGGGCTGTGGTACAGGGGGCATTCATAATTACCACGACTATTTTTTGGGGGGGTTCCCTTTAAAAGGTTCCTTAAAGGGGTCTATACAGGATCTATAGTAGGTTCTATGGTTTAGGGGGCCGTAATAATTGCCTGTACTAGTTTGGTGGTTCCTTCTTATAGATAGTATAATGGGCCCCCAAACCCTATTCTAATTATTAAGGCCTCTATACTACCGCTTAGTCACAGCTCGAGCAAACGCGGCACGTTCCCACCTCCGCACGTCCTCGCTCACTAGAGCGTTGCGGAGCCTGGTTTGAATTTGGTTCGGGTTTGGGGTCTGCGCGTGGGCTCCGATGGGCGTTTGCGGTCATGTCAGACTCCCGAAAGCTGACATAACGTGCTGCCGGATCGGATCTAATTATCCCCAAGCCAAACGTGCCCCACTAATGATCCTAGATCCAGGAAATTACATCGGCCTGTTCATGTACGTAATTAATGAGGCGGCTTCAAGCACATAGCCAGCTGCATGCCTTGAGGCCTGGGATCACTTCAAGCCAGCACAGAACTACAAGGAATCCCAAGACACATGCTAAACCCTGACATTCCTAGCATCTCTAAGACGCTGAGAACACCTACGGTAAGAACCCTTGCAACCCTGACCCTAAACTCTCGTGATAACCCCAAATGCTACAACCGAAACTCCAGACCCCAAACCCTTACCCCTAAAAACATCGAACGTTTCGAAGAGCCGCAGGTCAGCTGTGCCCAAAGCGGGAGGAGGTGGGGACAGGCCGGAGGGGAGATCCTGAAAGACAGTGAACCGATCTCAATATGCGGGCTTCATAGGTGTAGTCCAAGAAAGTGTGGATAAGGGCTGAGGATTCAGGGTTTAGTTTTTCGGGGTTTGGATGGGGGAAGCTGAATGTCAACATATCTGAACCTAGCCTTGAATATTCGGTGGTACTGTTCTGATACAATTTACAGTAGCAACTTTACCCTCGCAACACCGTCGACTCATTATGTAGGTCTCTATACTCCAGAGTTCACGGCCCGGAGATTTAAACCCTAAACCTTATGAGCCCTACAAACCACGCGTTTCAGTGTCCGCAGGCCGGTGCCTCCGAAAGAGAGGCAGGCCGTGATATTGAGAGAGCCGCTGATGTCGACTCCACTTTTCTGCGGCGATCAGAAGTGTTCTATGTTAGTGCTTGAGAGTGCTTTGAGGCGTTAACACCCATAGTATCCAGGGTCTTGAGGGGTTTAGGGGTTTAGGGTTTAGGGGCTTGGGGCTTATTGACCCTTGGGGACAGGGGCAAAGGCTCCAAGATGCAGTGCAGCACGTGTGGGGTGTGTCCGTTTGTGAATGTCCTGTACGATTCCCCACGGTCCGTTGATATAAGTATACTAAAGTAGAACAAAAACCTATTCTACTCCCTTAAGGGCCCCGATATCACACCTAGGGTCATGCAGGTGTTTTGGGTCCGGAGCTTGGGGCTTGGATTCGCAGGGCTTGCTGAAGTTACCTTTTGGGGCTAACAGAAACAACGCCTTCAGCAGCCTTAACCTCACTTTCCAAATGCGCGATGCTTTCCGAATCATACACGCCCCAAGCAGCTCAAATCTTTCAAGGGCAAGACGTTTGAAGCTTCGTCGAAGCCCTAAACCACTGAAGCCCTATAGGCCCTAGAGGCAGGGGGTCCACTGAGAGGCCCGCCAGCGCTCCGCGCATCACTGCAGCCAGGTGAATGGGTTTCGGCTTCCAGGGAGAGGTTTAGGCGTTTCGGGCTAAAGGATAAGTCCCTAAACCCTAAACTCTAAACCCAAAGCCCCTAAACCGTAAGCCTTTAACCCTATAAACCCTAAACCCTGATATGAGTGTGTGGTGCATCTGAAAGTAACCCTCAGCCCCAAAGCGGGAAAGCCTGGCCGTAATCCTTTGAATTTACCTATAGTCTCCATTGTAGCTCCTTTTTGAGGATCCCAAGTCTACAGTAGGTCTCCCGGAGGGCCCTGTTTTCCTTTTTGTGGTCTTAGGTTCCTTGTAAACTTTTTGAATACCAAAAAGGGAGCCATTTTCTTGCTGGGGATCCCAGACATAGAAATGTGGTTAAGCCAAGAAAGGGACCCGCAATGGAGACCATAATACAGGGTGCTTGCCTGCCTGCCCGCCCGCGTGCCTGCCGCTGCATGTTCCTGTCTGTAGTTGCGTATGTAAACTGCTAGAATTAAAAGGGCAACCCTGCTTATTCCGGGGCCCGGGAACTCAGCACGTAGCCAAGGATTTGCCGTCTCAGCGCTGAGTTTTTTTGTGCTAGTGCCCCTAAATCCTGAACCCGAGACCTTAAACTGGGTTGCTCTTTGGGATAATTTTTAATTTTTTTATTTTGTTATAAAGGGAAACTGTTCATAAATAATTTCCAAAGGGTTTAAAGCACATCTAGTAAACCCGAAACACGCAGAGGTGTAGCGGTCCTCCTCAGCCGTGCCCAAGTTTCAAGCCCTGAGCCCTACACACCAAAACCTATATATGTATATGTAAATATATATATGTATATATATATATATATCTTCTTTAGGATGGCCTGTGTTCGGTGACGCGCCACATGCAGCCAAATTCTAAAATGTGCAAATCCCCAGTATGCGCTCACGATCTACTAAGCAGCGCGTGGTGCCGTAATCTGAGCGATCGCACATAACGGAGGAAGAACCACAAAGAGTCAACTGGCAGCGCTGTGCGCAAAAGCCATCTCTGTGGAGCACATCCCCGTTCAAAGCCAAAAGGCTACGCCATTGGCCATCAAAGCATCAGACGGTGGTGGCCAAGCAGGCTGTCCCCAGAGGGATCTTTCCTACATGCTTTGTAGTCCGTAGTCGGCCATCAAAGCACTGGACAACGTACAATCCAAATTAAAAGAATCGGCAACGGACCTAAGACGTGCAGGATCTTCTTCATGGGTATCGGATGAGGCAATCCCTACACAGTTAATATACCCAGGATGTCAAAACACCTTCATCGAGGTGATATTGCGGACATCAAAAGCTACTGCCCCAAAATCATCGACAATGCTCACTGAACAGCAGCATGAAAGCCGTGGGACCTCCACACTCAAAGACAACATCCCTGTTACATCACTCACCTGCTAAGTCAGGATGCGGACTCAAGGTCGTCAGACCCGACACCTCGCCGTCTGTGCCGAATCCCTCTCCGTAGGACTTGCAGAATAACCAGCTCTCAGTTCCATGATGCGGATGTCCTCGCTTGACGAGCCTCTGCTCTGCTTGAAGACGCGCACCTGCAAGGCCTCCGTCTTCTTGGGGTCAGCCGCGAACTCCTCTACCGTGTAGTATGCCAGTGTGTCGTCCATACCAGTGTTCAACATGGCCAACTTGCGCAGCGTGTGACACTCGCCCATGAGCGCCATCACATCACGTGAATTGCAATGTATGCCAGCTTTCCGTGTCATGATCCAGATGCCCTCTGTTGACGAGCCCCTGTTCTGCTTGAAAACGCAAGTCTGAAACACCAGCGTCTTCTTGAAACCAGTCCCAAACTCCTCTGTGTGGCATGCGAGCGTTTCCTCCATACCAATGTTCAACATGGCCACCTGGTGAGCCTCTGCTCTGCTTGATGGTGCGCACCTGGAAAGCCACCGTCTTCTTGAAGCCAGCCGCGAACTCCTCTGCTGTGGCTTCTGAGCGACCCCCCTTCCCTGTAGGGCCATGGCATGGGGGCCTGGGGCGACGGCAATCAGGCGCTGTCGCCTGTTTTCTGAGCCCTTATATATGTATATATATATATACACACATACATACATACCTTAAACTCTAAGGTTTCGGGAGTTTAGGGCTTAGGGTTTAGCGAGGGAATGCCACACACTACATAAACATATACTTCGCGCCAAACCTTGAGCTATCAAGCAAAGACACCCGTAAGAGTCCCTTAAAGCCTATAAGCCATAAGCCTAGCGCGGCCGCCAGGTCTGACGCATCTGCGGGTCCTGTGGTCAGGCAGTGGCAGGGAAAGCTTGGAATCGGGGTTCAAGGCTTAGGGTTCAGGCAGCGTTTTGCCGATGTTCAGTGTTAAGGGGCTGTTTAGCAATAGTGTAGGTTCGGGCTCCCTAAATCCTAATCTCAAGATGCTGAGGATCACGAAAGCCTTACACTGCGAAGCCCCGCTCCCGATGTTCAAGGTTTACCTGAACCCTGAATAACCTATACCTTGTTAAGGACTTAAAAAAGGAACTCACAGTAAAGAGCCCTAAAACAATCATAGGTCTTTAGTGTCCAGATAGGGTTTGGGTTTCAGGGTTGAAGGTTTAGGGTCGACAAAAGGCACCAAAGTTTGTAAAGCAGCCTGAAGCAGTCGGACAGTACTTGTGGAACAACTTCAACAGTCTGTGCGAAGTGGTCGAATTTAGCGATAGAAAGTAGTTCCTAGACGGATGTGGTAGAACCTCATTTGCCCGACCCGTGACCGCTGCAGTATTTCAGCAAAGGCTCATCTGCCTCCAAGGAGAACTAGACGAACTTCATGGTGCTCTTGCGCAGTTCGCGCCCAAAAGCAAGGTCGCCAGTTGCTGTCCCTCGTGTAGTTTGGGCCAGCTCAATCCGCATCACGCCGATGGCTCATCTTCCGGGCGCCCCAGCGACGCCCCCGAGTGCATTCGGCACGGTCTCTCTTCCGGCTGCCCCTGCTACGCCCGCGGTAGCAGCACAACATCGCTGCAAAGAGAGCGACACTTGTTTTCATGATCGATACTGCTGCTGTGATCCTGGTATATGCATTAGCTGTGCCGCTGCGACAAGACAGCGGGTTCTGAATAATGTTCATTGTATTCTCAAGGCAACCCAAATATGTAGAGAAATGATCACATACCCCCGAAACCCAGTCTCATTGGTAAGGCCCGTTTATAGAATCCTGCCCCAAAAATGTGTCCAATTTGCAAGTCGCCCTAACCCGAAATCCTAAACCCTAACATTTACAGCCCTAAACCCGAAATCTTAAACCCGAGACCCATGCAAGAAGCAGAAGATTCTAAATCCCCAAAATTGCCCAGGACTCTTTCCCCTCAGCCCAACACCCGAAACCCCTAAACCCTTAAATCCCTCAATCCTAAACCCTAAACCCTAGAACTTAAACCCTAAACCCTAGAACTTAAACCCTATACCCTAAACCCCTAAATCCTAAACCCTAAGCCCTATAAACCGCTCTTATCTTCGAACGCCCTCAGCTGCTCCCCAGCGCCAGGTCCGCGAGCGCTCCAAAGTTGAGCTCGTCGGGCAGGCTTGGCCTTTAGATTTAGACATCTCCTCTTAGAGAGTCCTAGAATGCTATTGGCAAGGGGACCTTTAGATTTAGACATCTCAGAAATGGGCGTTTTTTGGGTGAGGTTAAGGGTTTAGAGTTTTAGGTTTAGCGGTTTAGGTTCCTTTCAAAGAGTCCTATAATACTACTTACAAGGGTTACTATGGGGTGAAAGGAGAAGCTTTGGAGATCGGAAATCAGGGTTCTGGCGTTTTTTGGTTTGTAGGGTTTTGGATCTTTTTTTGTTGTATGGTGTTCTGGTATTAGGATTTATAGGGTGTATGTGAGAACCCTCCGTTTTCGATCCGGAGCCCTACAAAGCGAAAGCTCTGAGGGTTAAGGGTTCAGGTCTTCGGGCTTAGGGTTCAGGGACCCGAAAGTATGAAACGCCCATGTCCCGAAACCCCAAAGCTTTTAAGATCCAAAACCAATAACTCTAGACCGGCCATCAGCCACCCTACCCTTTTCCCCCCCCCCAGACCCTGAACCCTTGACCCTAAACCCTAAACCCTAGGTTTTGAAACTAAAGCCTTGTCGTCCTCAGCCCTAATACTAAAACCCTAAGCCCTAATACTAAAGACCCGCTACCCTAAAGCCCGTTTCGTCCTCAGCCCTACCTTGCGACTGTTCCAGGCCGGGGATGCTTCCGCAGTCGAAGACCCCCGGCTTGAGGCATCGGGAGTTTTATTGGCCTGGCTCGTGGATTTAGGATTTGGGCGTAGGTTTAGGTGTTTGGATTTGGCTTTTAAGTTTAGGGTTTAGGTTTAGGAGTCAGGATCTAGGGTTTGGGCGGGTTAGGGTTTTGCATTTCGAGTTTAGTTTTGTTTAGGTTTTGGGGTTTCGAGGGGGTTCATAGTTCGAGGCTTGGAGAGACATGGTAGTTGCTGTCAGTGCCATAGCTGAGTGAGTACACTGTAAATCTTTGTGATACTAACATCCCCTGTGAGCTCAGCAGCTAAGTATTGCTGTTGTGCTGAGTTGCAGGGTAGAGGGCTTTCTACTCACATCAGGGTTGTGCTATAGGGTTTGGCAACTTGGGGTTTAGGGTTGAAGGATAGAAGGCCTAGGCATTTAATGACTGTCGCTTGGGTTTTGGGGTTCGGTTTTGGGGGTCGATTGTGCTTCTACTGTTCAGGTGACTGATTGTTCAGATTGACCAAAGCTCTCGACTCTTCGCCACCTGCGGTGGCTCAAGCCGAGTGAAGTCCTGCGGCCTGGTCGCAAAAGGATGGGCGCGGTTCTCCGCTTGCCGTTAGTCGCACAGTTGGTAGCGCGAGCCTGATTAATGCCATGGCTGAGCCGAGCAGCTCTACGGGGCTGCCAGCTAGCAATGTGCCGGACAGCTCCGGGACGACGACAGCGGCGACAGAAGTGGAAGCCGGCTCAGATCCGTTGGCGAACCAGGCAGCGGCAGGGACCTCACCGGATCATGCGGCTTGGCATCGAGATGCGACGTGGTGGCGAGGAGACTGGTCAGATCAGCAATGGTCTGGATATCGCTGGAGGGGATCAGATTGGAGTACTCCAGTCTGGGGGAACCAGTGGTGGTCAGGCTCCGATGGCGCTGGCGTGGCAACTGACCAAGGCAGGCAGATGCGGCTTTTGATCCGTGGGCGATTGCTGCACGGGCGATTGGGAATGCTCAGGGGCCCTCGCAGACGACCCAGGATGTCATTTCTGCTCAGGCTCCGAGTGCAGGATCGGGATCCGCTCCGGGTCAAGGAACGACCGGGCATCAATCCGGCTACCAAGGCGGCTGGTCACAAGGCGGCTGGGGATCCTCGTGGTCCTGGCAGCAGCCTAAGCCCGACTACTCTGATCCACCGTCCTGGCCAGGGTGGTCCCATCGAAGATACTGGGTCCAAGCCATCCGGCGTTGGGACAAGATGACGGATCTGCCATTGGGCAGACGCGCCGAGAAGGTGTTGAGGGGGCTCGGCTGGGAGCTTCAACCCGATCTGGAGCACATCCCAGAGCACGTGCTCAGCTCAGGCGGCTATCTCGACGCGATCTTGGCCGTTATCGACATGAAGGCGGGTGTCCGAGAAGATGATGAGAAGAGGGAGGCGTTCAGAAGCTTGTTTTATCAATCTCAACGGCGTCGTGAAGAGACGCTGGCCCAATACGCGATGCGCAAGCAGCAAGACTTCCTGAAAGCCTCTACCTTCGGCATCGCCGTTCCTCCCGGATTGCAGGTGATGCTGATGCGGGAAGGAGCTCTTCTCTCGGACCAGAACCAGCAGAATCTCACGGCCCTGCTGCAAGGGCAAGATGAGGACCCACACGTGGTGGCGAAGTGGCTCAGCAGAATGGATGTGCGGGCCGATCGGCTGCATGGCTTCGCCGAGGACGAGCCCCTCGGCGATGGCGGAGAGCTCAACGCGTACGGCGAGGAGGAGGACATCCCCGACGAGTCGGACGACCTCGAGGATGCCGCGGTGCTGGCGGAGTTGGACGGCCTCGACCTCTCCGAAGACCAGGTGAACGAGGTCTTCGCGGTGATTGAGCAGCACAAGAAGAAGAGGACGTGGAAAGAGAACAAGCTTTATAAGGCCGAGCTGCGCAAGGATCGAGGCACCATCTCCAAGGGAGGCGATCGAGGCTATCATCATCGTGGCGGTGCGGGCTCCTCTGGCTCAGGAAATCGTCGAGGGCAGCTGAGTCGTGACGAGCTGAAGAAGATCAGCAAGTGCAGGCTCTGCCACAAGAAGGGCCACTGGGCTGAGGACTGCCATCTCAACCGGGACAAGGGCAAGGACAAAGGGGCTCCTTCGGGCTTTTGCTACGCGCCGGGGCCGACTGGGGGCTCAGGAGCTGGGTCAGGCTTCTCCTTCTTGTCCTTGGAGGAGATCCATCGTGCCGTCACGGTGGCCAAGGAGCGACTTGGTAATCAGGGAGCAGATGGCAGCTGGACCTTCTTGTCTCTGAAGGCCGGAGAGGCTATCCTCGATATCGGCGCCACTCAGGACCTGATTGGCAACACGGCTATGCAGCAGCTTACGCGAGAGCTGAGCCAGCAAGGTCTCCGTCCAGTGACTGTGGACGTTCCGGTTCCTTCTCCATCCGGGATCGGAGGAGCCGCTAAGGTGCTGAAGGTGATGCTTGTACCCATTTCACCGGCTGGGGCTCCTGGTATTCTTCAGATGACGGTTCTTGAAGAGAACATCCCTCCGTTGCTGAGCGTGGGCTTCCTTGAGTTTTTGAAAACGTGCATTGACCTCGAAGAGGATTCCGTATCCTTCCGTCGGCTCGGAGTCAAAATGTCTCTGACAAGGCAGCCTTCCGGCCACCGCACGATCCCACTGACACAGTGGGGAGGCGGCCGCTTCCCTGTTCCCGAGGAAATCCTCAGGAAGTACAAGGTCAGCGCAGACGCATTCCATTGTGCCCCGACCGCGTACATAACACGAGAGTCAGAGGCGCTGCATGGGGATGCGCTACAGTCATCTGAGACAGCTCTAGGGGGTCAGTGTGATGGAAGCCGGAGTGAGAGTTCGATTACCAGAGCAGAAGCGTCGTCTCCAAGGTCAGTTGAGCACAGTTCTGAATCAGTTTGTGTGGACGATGTGGCGGGCTCCGGAGCACGAGGGTTAGCTTTTCGCAAATCTTCAACCAATTCGATCTCACTTAGCGAGGCGAGCTCTACGATTCATGCCCCCTCGCGACCCGGAGAGAGGCACTCAGCTATGGAGGGTGATGGTGCAGCGAATGTTGTTTGTGGTCGAGGCGGCCCGGATCTCCTACATGAGGCTCATCCTGTCGGAGCGAGCGAAGTCTTCCAAGTCCGAGCGCCGCAAGTACTTGGAGAACCCCTCGCACGAGCCTGCGAGCTGCCTTCATCCTGTGGATCGCCATCTCCGCCGTGGGAATCAGTACGGTTCCTGGAAGGTGTGCGGGGTGTGCGGTGCGAGGCTGGAGTACCACAAGCGCTCCAAAGCGAAGGCGAAGGCGAAGGGGCGAAGTCAAGCAGCCAGCAGCGTGGCAGCCCCGGTGATGGATCCCGAGCAGGTGATGGAGAGGCCCAGTCGCTCTCGTGGGAGCGAGGGCTATCGCCCAATGCGGGCGGCGGGGCAAGGCTCCTTGGAGGCGGAGACTCTGTCCACCATGCAGGCGATGCTGAAGAGCTTCCAGGACCAGAGCAGAGTGGTGTCTCAGGCCATGGGAAACATCAGCAGATCTCTCGAGGAGCTGTCCAAGGGGCAAGGTCAGCTTCTGCTGATGGCGCAGGACTCGCTGGAGAAGCCCATGTCCGTGGACCAGATCAGCGAGATGGCGAGCATGGCGGGACGACGACCCAGATCTCGACGAGCCACGGTGGATGAAGGTGGAGAATCCCAACGAGCAGTCTCCCGTTCAGGACTAACATGGCCGTCGTGGATGACGACGACGCTGATGGCAGCCTCTTCCGTCCTTTGTTGGGGACAGTGCTCGGCCGAGTTTCAGGTGGCCCTCGACCGTTATGGCCATGGGGAAACCTCTTGGGTGATGTACTGCCCACAACTGGACACTCAAGACGAGACTGAGGCTGCAGATCGTCCCGGTCCCGTGAAGGCAGATGGTCGAGCTGAAGTTCCACTTTTACCCGATTCCCCGACAGATCATCCCGGTCCCGTGAAGGCAGATGGTCGAGCTGAATTTCCAGTTTTACCTGATTCTCCGGCAGATCATCCTGGTCCCGTGAAGGCAGATGGTCGAGCTGAATTTCCAGTTTTACCTGATTCTCCGGCAGATCATCCTGGTCCCGTGAAGGCAGATGGTCGAGCTGATCAGTCTCAGTTACCCGATCCAGCGCTTGATCATCTATCAACCGTGTGGCGTGACCAAGTTGCCACGATGTCTGGGCTCTCCCACGACCACTGAAATCCTTTCTCATGAGAAGACCCTGAGCACATTTCTCGCCGTCGAGCATCTCCTGGGGCTTCTTGGGGTCAGGCTCCCGCTTCTCGGAACGGAGGTGCTCGCCGTAGACATCGGAGATGGTTGCGAAGTTATGATGGTTGGAGAGGACCATCCATCCTTCCAAGTCCTCCGCTCCAGCTCGGAAGGTCACCAGAGACATGCCTTTCTGCTGTAGTCGACTCTGAACTCCGCCGGACTTCCACAGAGGGTGGCCTCCAGGAGCTAGGAAAGCGAACACATCGCCTCTCCTCACCTGACAATCAGCGGCTTGGAGACAGAAGTTCCAAGAGAGCTGCTGATGCACACGGTCTTCATCTGAGCCTTGGGGCTGCATAATGAGAAGTCGTGGTGCCTGACGTGAAAGATGAGACCTGAATCGGCTGCGATGTTCTTTGCGCCGAACGTCCCATCCGGCAGTCTCTCGAAACAGCTCATGAGGAGGGGGAGAGCGAATGCCCTGCGCTTGTAGTTGATCAAGTACTTCGCTGCCCAGCCCCATAACCACGAGAGCCGTTGAATGACTCCGGTTCTCCCAGGCTTGGTCTCGCGCCATGTTCTTCAGCCGGTTGGCTGCCAGGGTGACTATGCCGTCGGGCTTGGACCTCGCGTTGTCCGCCATCTCGTCGCCCATCTCCTCCATAATCTGGTTGGCCCTGAACACCCAGATGTCGCCTCGCGTGTTCGGCTGTCCATCAAGTCCCAGCCTGACTGGATCTGAGTGAGACCCGATCGCCTGCCGCATTCTGGCCAGCCTGGAGGGAAGCGTCCAACACTGCAGCTGCCCGCCTTCTCGTAAAAGGTCTTCTCTAGATCCCAAGCCAGGTCCTGAATGCAAGATGTTGCCCTCGGGGTCACGACCAACGCTCCACTCGACTGCCACTTCAGGATCGCGGTCCAAGGCTTGAATGATGTCTAGTCGTGTCAAAGGCTGCTTGAGCTAGCCACGGAGACGGCCAGTAGGTCGTCAAGAGCAGTGTCCCAAGGAGGTGCCGGCAGCCGGAATTTGGTGTTGGGCGCCTTCGTTCACGGCGGCGTCTACGGCATCACCCGTGAAGGACGAGATCGTCCCTGGCTGACTCGCTACCTTTGCGAGTTTATGCGAGAGAAGGGCGACCGCGAACCACATACCACTTTGTCCATCAGCTACAACACCAAGTTCGACATGCACTTCGACTGTCATAACCGGCCGGAATCACTGAATGTGTGTTACGGGATGGGATGCTACACTGGAGGTGGTATCTGGGTTCACTCTCCTCCGAATCAAGCTCATGATTCCTCTACGTGGCGACGGAGTGAAGATGGACGTCTGCTACGGGGTCAAGTCTTTCCCACCCGCGGTCGGCTGGTCCAGTTCTCTCCGAAAGTTCGACATCTTAGTGAACCCTGGACCGGAAGCCGTTGGATGATCACGGGCTACTCCGTCAGGGGGGAAGAGCACATCACACAAGAACAACGACGAGATCTTCAGCGACTGGGCTTCCGGCCCCGAAGTCGACGAGTCTCAGCCCAGCTGAGCCGACAGCTGAGTTGGGCTAGCGCATGCCTGCTATCCGAAGTTAAGTTCGAGCCAGACCTCTCGGCCGCATGCTTCCTGGGCGACGAGGAGAACGACGAGGAGCTGGGAGATGATCAACCTGCTGGAGATGTTGGCTCAGCGATTCGAGGAAGTCAAGGAGTCAAGCAGGTCACCGAGTCTCAGAAACGTCTGCTGCAGAAGCTCCACATCAACCTGGGCCATCCTCCTAGAGAAAGGTTCTTGCACATGCTTAAGGGCGGCTGGGGCTCATGAGCATGTTCTGTCTTTTGCGAAGAACGAGATGCGGTGCGAGGTGTGTGACGTTAGGCGTCAACCAGACCACCGGCGGAGAGCTCAGTATCCCAAAACGTTTTCCTTCAACAGGGTGATCTGTGTCGATGTGCTGTATCTGAAGTTCCGCGATCTGCAAATTCCAGTTCTCAATATGGTATGCGCTGGAACCCATTATCAAATCGTCCAGCGTCTTCCTGTGCCCTCGGAATCCTCCGGAGGTACTCCAACCGCCGACGTTGCCTGGCGAGGCTTCGCTTCGTCTTGGCTGCGATTTCTGGGAGCACCAAGCCTGATGATCACGGACTCCGGTAGCGAGTTCAAGGGCATCTTCGAAAGACAATGCGAGGCCCACGCCATTCTGCAACATGTTACCATCCCAGAACAACCATGGAAGAACGCTTTCGCGGAACGCCACGGAGGTTGGCTGAAGGAGAAGCTGGACAGGGAGATCAGCAGTGGTCGTTGCGCCTTCCAAAACCTCGAGGAGCTCGACGACTACCTGAGCTCGATTACTTCAGTGAAAAATCGCTGGCTCCAGCGGTCAGGTTATACACCAGCCGCTCTCGTCTTCGGAGAGCTTCCGAGGGTGCCGGGAGAGCTCCTGGCAGATGACGAAATCAGTGACCAAGCCGTTGCGGACGCATACTCAGATCCCTCCGGGTTGGACCAGGCGGCCACGGAGTTCAGGCGCAAGCTCGAGATTCGAGAGAAGGCGCGACAAGCAGCTATGGCCCAAACCAGCAAAGAGGCCTTTCAACGAGCAGCGAGGGCAAGCACCCATCAAGCTCGACGGTGGGCGGCTGGACAATGGGTCTATGTGTTCCGTCGAGGTCGGCCAAGTAATGTCCTTCATCCTCGTGATCGCTGGTGTGGGCCAGGAATCATTGTCTTGGTGAGTCAGAAGGGCATTTATGTGGCCATGAGGTCTAGGCTGTGGCGATGCGGATCAGAGCAGCTGAGGCCAGCGCACCCCAACGAAATGCTGGGGGCTCAAATGTCTGAGGATCCAGCATTGGCTGAGCTGCTCCAAAAGATCAACTCCGGAGTCCGAGCGGGCATCGTGGACGTCACTGCTGAGAGACCTCCCCAGGCCTCGGAAGAATTTGCTCCAGTGGCCAGGGACGAGGAAGGCATCCCGCTGGGAGAATCGCCGCTGCGGTCTCGACCCCAAGAAGCTCCTCAGTCAGTTCAGGCGGTTCCAGATCGACTTCTTCCACAGCGCGCCGGAGCTCACGAAGACATCGATCCTGAAGTAGCTCCATTACCACCTCCCGGATTACCTCCACCTGCGGTGGGAAGTTCAAGTAACTCCAGGCGCTCCTCGGTGGAAGAACCAGCAGCTGAGCTAGAACCTCCCTCGTCTTCCTCCCTTCCCAGATCACTGGAGCGGATACTCGAGGAGTCATCGGAGGAAGAATCCCCTCAACCCGCTCGCAAGGCGGCGCGTCTCACTCCTGAGGATCAGGAGTTGGGAACGAGAGCTCCGGGTACACCGGTTGGCAGGCTTTTGCAGAGCATTCCGCATCGAGTCCAAGCCGAAGACTCGACGTCCTCCACTGCGGCCCAGGCCTCCGAGTCCGGTCGTGCCGTTCTTACTCCCGGGGAAGAAGTCCAAGGTGCTGGCAGAGTAGAACGACAGATTGCTGAGTTCGAAAGCTTACATCCTCCGCGAGAACGATCACCCCGGAGGGATGCGACAGCTGCCAGCGGTTCAGGAGGCGAGCAGTCCGAATCCTTCTTCCACTACGATGCTCAGGCACAGACGTGGTCTCTTCTGGCGAAGAGGGGCGATGAGATCAGCCTCAAGGCTCTGGCCGCAGAGGAGAAGAAGCTGTTCGAGCTTTCCGACAAGGCGGAATGGGAGGCGATGCTGGCCACCAAGGCAGTCCGAGTGCTAGTGGGCAAGGAGGCACAAGAGGCCCGGCGGCGCTATCCAGACCGCATCCTCAGTTCGCGGATGGTCAGGCGACGAAAGCCAATCCCCGAGAAGCTTAACGCCTGGAAGGCCAAGTCAAGATGGTGCGTGCAGGGACATACCGATCCTGACACTGCGGAGTTGCGCACTTACGCACCGACTCCATCGACTGAAGGACTCATGATGTTTCTGCAGACCACTACGAACTTGCAGCAGGAGTGTGCTTTCGCGGATGTTCGAAACGCATTTTGCCAGTCCTTACCTCTGCGTCGCAGCAAAGGACCGCTTTTCGCAGAAGGCTGCGAGGGCCTTAACCTCCCACCTGGGGCATTGATTGCTCTGGATGTGCCTGTCTACGGGCTGGACGATGCTCCAGCGGCATGGCGTCGCACCGTGGTGGATTTCTTGATCAGCCAAGGATTCGTTCGTCACATCACTGAGCCATGTTGGTACATGCGTTTCAACAAAAAGACGCGCCAGAACGAGGCGCAGGTCTTGGTGGAAGTCGACGACCTGATCGTGGCCACGGATCCCAACCTCACGGAAGCTATCAAAGAGGCCTTTCAAGCGAGGTTCAAGTTCGGAAAGTGGGAGGTCAAGGAGGCAGAGTACGCCGGCCGTAAAGTGGTGACGGGGCCAGAGTTCACAACAATTTCCCAGGAAAAATACATTCTTGAGCAGGTCTTTCCGATTCCACTTGCGCGAGGCCGAAGACAACTCAAGGAAGACTCGCTTACCG